AAACTTAAAATTAAAGCTATTCTGTATTTTCCGTATAAAAAAGTGTAAACACATTGATTGCACGGATTTTCCTCATGGTAGAAGAATATAGGTAGATGCATCAACGCTTGGGAAAATTAATATGTCAAAACTTTTACAGTGTTTTGTCAAAAATAAGTAGATTTTTATACGTTTTCTTATATGACGCAAATCGAAGGTTATAATGACAAATATTTTTCAACAATTTTCACAAATTTCAATACTTTTTCACTCAAGATTTTCAATTCCAAAATCGGTTTGACAGTTCATTGTCCCAACAGCTGTCTCGATGCGACTACCTACCTACCTGGTTCTACAAGGTTTATACTTTAACCTTAAATGTTTTTTCTACCATGGGCCGACATCTAAATTAGAGCACGTTTAGACTTCTAAATCCAGTCGACTTTAAATGTCAACCCCATAGCGTATACGTCACGTAAATCGTATTCATAAAACCAGTGGATATCATTTGACGTATACTTTTTGGAAATTACATTTGAGGTGGGGTGGATTTCGTTAGTCTTATACGCGTTTTACGAATATTCGTCATTAATTTGGCGTATAACAAGGAAATGAAATAGGTGTGGTTTTATAACGCAAAAGTCCTGTAAATTAGAGCGAGTAAAGAGAGCATTTCTGACAGTTGAGTTACTGAGAGTTTGTTTTATAACTCATAATTGCTGTTACAAGGTTGATCTAACAGGTAACCGCATCGGCGAATTGCTACAACAAAGCAACTTTTGTGGTCCCCTCAAATGTCAAAATTGGCATCTAAGGCGAAAAACATAGATTCGCCATGACATTTAAAGGATGCGGCAAATTTGTTTCAACCAATCAGAAACGAGGTGTTTGTTTACATTTTATTTTGTGTGCCTCTCGTCGTAAACGAACGTCGCAATAAAAGTTTTTATTGTAAAACAAATAAGAGTAAAATAAGTATTAATTGTAGTATTGCGATATTTTTTAAACCAAGAAACTTATAATGACTATATTTTACTGGTTTAAACCGAAAGTTTTCCGGAACTGCAAATGACAAGAGTCGAATTCTTGCACTACTTCCCGTGATGTGCTTTGGGAATCTTAGATGTTGAGGCTAACTTAATTCTTAAAGCTGCACTCCATTCTAACCTCCTTCCTTCATTTTCTTTTAATTTTTTTTACTTGTTTCACTCTAAACTTGCTCTTAAATTATTTGAAATATTATAAAAAGGTACTTTTAGGGAAGACAACATAAACAAATTTGTTGTTGCATTCATTTAGGGCGAATTCTTCATTACAACAATTTGTTTTGACATTTAATGGTGCCGTCAGCTGGGCTGATGCGATTACCTAGTACATCTACCTTGTGCTGTTAATTAAAGCGAGTAATGAGAGCAAATTTTACAGTTGAGTTAAAAAGAGTTTGCAAAATCTACCTAAAAAAATTACTTAGTTAAGGTGAGAATACATAAAACTCTTTTTAATGGCTTAAGTCATTGACTGGTTTCTTCGGGAAAGAGCAAAGGTGTTTAGGGCCAAAATCGAACTAATTTGGCCTAAAACTCCTTTGTTCCTATACGAAGAAGCCAGCCGATGACTTAAGTCAGACAAAAAAGTCTTTTATGTTTTCTAGTTCTAAAGGTGGGAATACATAAAGCGATTATCTGGCTGACTTAAGTCATCGGTTGGCTTCTTCGGGAAAGAGCAAAGGAGTTTAGGGTCAAAATCGAACTAAGTTAGCCTAAAACTCCTTTGTTCCTATACGAAGAAGCCAGCCGATGACTTAGGCCAGTCAAATATGCTCTTTATGTATTTCCACCCTAAGTTTTAGGTTAACTTAGTTCGATTTTGACCCTAGGCTTCTTTGTTTTTTTAAGAAAAGGACAGCCGAAGATTTATGCCAGTCAAAAAAGCGTTTTCAGGTGGGAATACATAAAGCGCTTATTTGGCTGCCTTAAGTCATCAGGTTGACTTAGTTCGATGTTGTCCCTAGGCTCTTTTGTTCATATCCGAAGAAGCCAATCGATGACTTAAGCCAGCCAAATGTATTCTCACCTTAAGTCATGGCTTCTTCGTAATTGAGCAAAGGAATTTTAGGTTGACTTAGGCGTATAATTTATATTTGGTCACCTTACGCTCCTTTGTTCTTTTGCGAAGAAGCAAGCCGATGACTTAAGCCAGACAAAAAAGCGTTTTATGTATTCTCACCTTAATCCATCAATTTTGAGAAACAGCTGTCTTCTTATCGCGAATACCTACTATTTATATTTTAGATATTTCCCCCATTCCGACTTAGTCTCTTTGGCAAAAATATATTGCCTTAAAATAGAATCGTTTTGCATAAAACAAAATTGCTTCATTCTGAAATTGTTTAAATCACAACAACACTCCATGACTGACAGCGGGCGGGTAGGCAACTAGGGTAGGTAGTCGGTAGGTTCTCACTCCGATTTTTCGTATCACAATACCTAATGAAATGGAAAACCCACGCAAATTTCAACTTGGATAGAAACTTTTGATGTGTATTTTTGTCTTGGGTAAACAACAGTTAGACAGACGGTTTGTCTGACATTGGCACAATACTGTTGTGTGTGTGTGTGTACCACATTGAATGTGAGAGAGCGATGACGCTCCCCTAAATACCCAACCCCTGAGATTCAAACACCTATTCATCCATCAAGAACTGTTCTCAAAGGTCGTCGCCAAGTTTTCGTTTCGTTTTGTGCCTACCCCAAAACTTTCTTTGAAGTCAAGTAAATGATTTGTTTACCCCATACCCAGCTGGTAAACAACCCACCCTGGCCCCCTCCGGGTTATTAACGACGTTCAGGCGATAGTAATCACAAACTTGAAATACAGTTAACAAATTCTGCAAACAATAAAAGCAACAATCACAAAATGCGAAAATGAGTAAAGAGCAGCAGAGCGCTGCAGAAGTGGGTATTCCAAGCTGTTAGAATACTACAAGGCAATAACAACAACAGGGAACAGGGTATGTATTTCCAAATATATAACTACCCAAAGCTAGACTGTGGGTGTTAAGCCCGTTCAAAGTAGATATGTAGTGGGTATATACGCTCGTAAGTAACAACGTCAACGCTGTGCACAGTAGCATCGGATACCGCTGCTGGCGCAACTGAATTATGAATGAAACTTGTCTTTAAATTTGTACTACGTGCACGCATACATATGTATGTGTGTAGTGCGGATTCCAGAACACCTACGCTTTTTGCCATTGTCTGACTCTTTGAAGCGAATTAGGGGGCATGATTGTGCGAGAGAGGGAGTTGGAGGGTTTGCTTTTATATACAGCAATTTCATTACGTTACATACCCTACACACAAACACCACGCACAGAGCCCACATAGAAGTCCACCTACACAAAAATTTCATACCCAGCTATTATTCTTCTTCATCATCAAAGTAAGTTATGGTAAGTAAGGTTTGGGCGAAAAAAAAAACTGCTGGGCGATGTATGTTTGGAAATCTGTATTACTGCCGTTACTGTCTCCGTGCTGGGCTCGTCGTCTCATCCTTATGAATGGAGTTTTTTCTTTTTTTTTTGTTGTGGTGGGTGTTGTATTGATTTTCCGCTCGTTCTCTTTGGTGCGTGTGTATCCATGGGACACGTGCTTTTTTCTTAATTTCTTAGTGAGACTTTTCACAGAAAATGAAGAAGAGCAGGTGGAGGAAGTTATCTTTGCTTGAAAGTATGAAGGATTTAAAATGAAAGAAATATATAATTTATTGTGAAAACCTAGTAAGCTAATAGTTTTCAATAAAAACTTACATTTAATTTCTGCAAATTGAAAGAACATATCTTAAGCTGTCAAATATCTGAAAATACAAACGAATCAGTTATTTTGATAAAGAATCTGAATAAAGGCAGATAAAAAATAAATCGTCATTTAAGAATTCAAAAATCTAAGATCATAAAGAGGGGGAGGAAAGTATGTACCATATGAAGCATCATACCTAAGGGGTTTCGATTGGAAGTTGATATTGACAATTGCCAATTAAGTCCAACAGATTCAACGTAAGTTAAATCTCTTGTCACATTTCAAATGAACCCATATGTTGTAGGCTTGTTGTTTGGTTTGAACCCTCCAAAAAGCAATAATTTTAGGGAAACGTTTTTTTGTATGGAGTCACTTCAAAATCTCAAGATCGGATTTTTATTCAATGAGAGTCAAAATTATAGCCCGTTCTTTTGAAAAATAGAGCTGAAGTCTTTAACTACCCTACATCAGAAGGTACCGCTATGTGGGTGCTGTACCAAATGCTCGACATGCACCTTCCCTAAATTAAGAAGTGCAGAATGCTTCTAATACCTTCAAATATTCTTTTTTGGTTTTGGCTTTATTTTATTACTCTTAAAACGAATATTCTTTTGCTCTTCTTTAGATGTGCGTTTTTATTTTTCTTTTTTTAAATTCCGCCTAAATTTAGCGTTTTACGAAGATTTGTCATAATGGGTTTAATGAAAACATATTCAATGTAAATAAGGTGTAAATTCTATACATTTTTAATATATTTAAGTAGTATTTTTCCCAGGAACCCAAATCAAAATACAGCTACTTACGATAAAAATAGACAATGCGGACTATTATAATAGTTTAAATTATCTTATCATTCCATTAGGACAACCTAGCTAAATTAATTATTATTTTTATTACTCTTTACTATTTAAGTGCCATTATTTTACTTTACATTTAATTCATAGAAATTGGTTGCTTTTAATTCCATTTCATTTATACACTTAATATTTTTTCTTTTTCCTATTTATTTATTCTTTCATATTATAATATTTTTTTTTGTTTTTTGTTGTAAATGTAAAATGTAAATGTAATTCCAATTTATTTAGACATTTTAAAAGCCCCCTTGTTGTTTAACGCTTTCATGAACATTGCCACATGATTCTAAATGTCAGTGTTACCACTTCGTCAGTGTTACCGATGACATCAAACGTCAATGTCTCACAAGAATGGCAAGGCGCAAAAATTTAATGGCAACAACAGTGAGACGAGATTCACAGTAATGAGTTCGTTTACCTGTGTGTGTTTTTTCCATTATTTTTTGGCAATGGTTTCATTGTCTGGCGCTTTTTAAAGTAGAAAAAAGTGTAAAATAAGCGCGCAAGTTATTAAAACATTTTGCTCTGGACATTCTAGCAACTCTTGAGAATTGTTAACGAGAATTTCGGAAAGATATCATTTTGAAAGTGGGCCAAAGTAATATGGATTCAGCAGCGTTAGAGGAGAACAAACAATTGGAGGGAGAGTCGTCGTCGGCGGCGTCGAACAATCCAAAAAGTGAAAGTTTTAATGAGGAGCCAGAAAGTTCGGAAGAACCCCTCCGAAAGCGTAAAAAATCAGCAGACGAATCACAACAGGATGCCTTGGTTACTTCGACGGTGGGTTTGAGGCGTTTCAAACGCATACCCATTTTCATTGTCGACTATCATAACGATGTATTGGAATTTATATACCGGTGTCTGGCCTCAAGGCATTTGCCATTGGAAAACAATACCCTGCTACATTTCGATTCCCACCCCGACATGGTTATTTCGCGTGAAATACCAGCCAGTTCAGCCTACGACAAGGAGACCATGTTGGCTGAATTGAGCATTGAAAACTGGATTATGCCTGCTTGTTATGCTGGGCATTTCAATCGGGTCATTTGGGTTAAGAATTCCTGGTGCCACCAAATGCCCGAAGGCAAATACAACTTCAAAGTGGGTCACAAAGAGGATAAAATCAGTGTGGACTGTTGCCTAGACTATTTCATATCGGAAGGCAATTACTGCCAAACATCTGAATTGGAACAGCCACGTGATATGGAGTTGCATGTTATCAACAATGACACCGAAACTGTGCCCGATCCTAAGCAACTGTTGTCTTCGGAAGATGCTTTAAACTATATACTAGATATTGATTTGGATTTCTTTAGTACTTCAAATCCGTTTTTGGAAATCTACAAACATGCCAATTGCTACGAACAATTGCGTCAAATATTCCATTTTGAAAGTGCCACAGAATCAACAGCCGTGGGCACCACCGAAAAGAGGAAACTTCAGCTGGAAGCCTTAAAGGGTGTCTTTGAATATTTGGAAGAGAAACGTTCATTTGAAGGCATTGAAATGCCCGACCCAGATATTGTCAGCAAGGAGGTATTCGATCGCATTGTTGCCTTGGCAGAATCTCTACAAAAGTGCTATGCCGATGATGAAATCGATTGGCTTTTAATATTCGATTCGGGCAGTACCACAGACACCAATGGTCTACCTCATCACATCAGTACAGAAGCTGAATTGGAAACATATTATGGCCAATTCAAAAAGTTCCTTACCCAATTGCCCCACCCACCAGTTCTCATTACCATGGCCTGTTCAGCGGAGGATGACTATTGTCCACGCAATCAAGTGTCCTGCATACAAGAGAAGGTTGTCCAAATACTGAAGGAGGTATTTGGTGACAAGGTCCATGATAAACCGATTTTACACTACATGGATGATGAGTGGGATGTAATGCAGTTGTAAGACAACAACGGCTATTGGAAAGAGAACAAGATAACATAGAGATGGGACAGCACGTAAAGTTAAACAGGACTCATGCAGTTTATTTAATTTCTGGAGGCAGGCACAATGCCCGATTATTAAATCCAGGCGACTGCAGTATTGTCTATTTTATATTAACAATTAATATATTATTATTATTATTATTTTATTTAGCCTCTAAGTTATGTAGCATAAGTTATAAAATTTATAAAATTTTATTATGATGTAGGAATCAAATAAAATTTGATTCATTTTTGATTGTAGCCAGTAAATGATTATGATTACCAACATATTGACAAGGACGATGAGACTTTGCATACTATACAGATAGACATCAAACACCAACCAGATGCAGATGAACTTGACATTCATTTATTAATAAAACACGCCGAGAAACGGATATTAAAAAAAAAATTATATTGTTTATTGTTGTGCTGCCTATGACGTGTGGACGGACAATCACCCGTAAAATATTGAAGAAAGCATTGCAGTCAGTGTGTATTGGTTAAGCTAACAATATTAGATGTGATTCACACAAATTTAATACGCAAAACACACTTTTCGATTTCTTTGGAAGTTCATTGACCGTCTTTTTGTCTATATCTTAGATGATAACTGGGTAGGCTGGCAGGCAGACAAATGATAAGTGCAATGTTTTAATAATAAGAAACTTGTTTGGAATCGGCACAGGGAGGAAAGGCATAAATATGGGCAATGGGTGGTGCATTCAAATCTAATTTTAGAAGGAAATATATTGAACCTAATCACATTTGAGTTAATAATTGTGGTATATCATTTGATAATTGAACATGCAATTGGCTAACCTTAGAAATGCAGTAACGCACTGCAGTGGTAGATCCTTTATAACGTTTATTAATGGGCAAGGCATGCTGTTAAAATGTTTCTGATATACTCTAGTTAGTAGAGTTTAGAACTCGGAGAGCTTCATAACTAGCCCAACTTTTCGAACATTGACTTTCATTGAGAAATTTTGGAACAAATCAATACTCCATTAACATTCTAAGTTTTTTGCCTTTTCCTCCTGTAAGAACAATAAAACAATTACTCTGTATAAAATATTTATTAGTTCTTTCCTATCTTTTGAAAACTTCCTTATACTGACGACATAGTTCACAGCAATCACCAGTCCCGTGTTGGATGTTGGATATATCCATACTTTGATCTTGAGCCAGGTCATAAATTCCCGCCGAAGTTTGGGTATTATTTGAAGAACAACTGAAATGAATAGGACTTATTTCTTGAAGGTCCCACACATCCACACCATTTATACTTACGTAGAAACAATTGATACTCTCCTTGAATTTGTTTTGAAGAGAGGTTCGAAGGGTTTTGTACTGAAGACAAAAAAAAAAAAAAATAAATAAATTTATAAAATTAATACCAACCATTGTGGCATCATCCTACCTCTTGCCTGGAAAATCTCTTGCATGACAAACAGGTTTCTGTTTACGTGGTCCATAGCAATTTAATTTGTCATAGGGTTCAGCATTTATTATACACGGCCTTTGATAACAATGAGATTTAATATTGCAATTATGTTTCGTCGATTTGGGTGGTATGGTCAACGGTTTGCGGGCATGACATGTAAATGATTTCAATTCCTCATTAAGATTTCCAACATTGAACACCTTATCCTTCACAAAAAAGTCGGCCGTTAATTCAACTTTTGGTGCAATTATTCCCTGGAATAAAGCAACAAAGAAGTTATGGCATTTTATTTACCTAAACGACAATCTTACCGGGAACGCTGTTGTTGTCTTCATCAGTAATTGTTTAGTATTATTATGGGGACAGTGTAATTTGGGTTCTGATATTTGTAGTAGATCCATGAGGTTCCCTCGATAATAGGCCAATCTACGCCCACTTTGCCACAGTGTAATCTCCAGGGGCTCAGTTTGCATTTGACTAATCAATGAAGCAATGGAAGGAGTGTTTTTAAAATAACCCTCCATTTTATAGGTGTCATGACACAACAAAGGGAAATAGGGTTCCATGGCCCCCGTGCGAAAAAAGTAGCCCAAGGCTTTTATGGTTACCTCCAAGTAACCATGGCTGCATAACCACACTCCAGGACAGGTAACCTATAAAACTTTTGCAATAAATACTGATTTTAAAATCTGCAATTTCATTTACTTACGGCTTGTAGTTTCAATTGGATTTTAATATGAAATCTTTGATTATTCATGGCGAATAGCTTTAGTTAACAAAAAATGTTTTATTAATGTACAATAAATTCCTTTGTGTATATATCACTCTGCGTTTGTTGCTATGATTACCCCATGTTGCTGGCCAACCTAAAAGTTGGACATGCGTTTAAGTTCGCTCTAATGGCATTTGAAACCTGTTGCCTTTTTCTATTTTGTTATTTGTATTTATTAAAACAATTTGCTTAAATTCTATGTGACAATTTATACAAATTCCATTAAATCTAACTGATCGAAGATTTTAGCAATGAGATATATGAACAAGTTATAAGGTATGGCTTTTTGAAATTCGTGAGATTTAAGGCGACTCCGCAAACGCATGGCGGTACGGGCAATGTCTCTTAACGTAAAATGTACATTCGGTTCCAGTGGCAGGTGCAAACAGCTTAGGACGGCATAAAGCCAAGAACCCAACCATTGTTCACTGTTGCTTAAATCTAAAACAGAGTGATTGGCAGCCGCCGAACTGGATGAACAGGCTACCTCTTCCATGTGCTCGCCCTTGAGCCATTCTGAAATCATATTCAATAATTGTTCCAAGGTACGTTGATTCAAACGTAAAATCACACTAAGTTTGGGTGGGGTGTCACGACAGAATTTTAGCCAGGCTTCTTCGTCACTTATCAAAGGTGGTTCCAGGTTATTGTCATAGTTGTGCGCTGACAAATGTTGGCGTAACATAAGAATTTTTGAACGTGTGCGCAGGAATTCTTGTGACTGAATATCCTTCCATTCCTTGGTGGGCAATAAATCTCGATCCACCGTTATATCAGGACTTAGCTGGGAGTACGAAAGGGACAATTAAGTCTTGGATAAAATAGTAATTTCTTTTGTTTACTTACCTCAAATTCCTCCAATTGATTCTTGACTCCATTCATCACCGGCTTCACTGGCTTTTTGGGCGGTTTAACTACCACTGCAGGACAACGTTTGCGTTCATACAGCATGTGCATGAGAAATTCCTCACCATTTTGTGGTGGTGCAGAGGGGTCGAAGTTATCCCCTGGCTGGCGTATCTCCAAAGCCTGTTGCTGAAAAGTTTCCAAATCATCGTCCACTTCCATGCTCAAAGACGCCACCATACACTAGCAGATTCCAAAGCTTATTGAAAAAACTGGCGTCGGTGTGGAAAAGGAAGAGAGAATAATATGTGAATGAATGATAAAGATTGAAATCAAAACAAAACCATTTAAGCCAAATAGGTTTCCAAAGATCGAAAACGGATAGCAGTAGGGCTTTAGAAATCTATTTTCGCCGAGAAAACCGTTGAATTGTTTTAAATCATATTATAGGGATTAAAAGATGAACTGCTACTGTAGGCATTTATGGTATATTTTAAGCAATACACAGCACATTTACTTTAGAAAGTTTTGCGTTCAGAAACGCAAATATCTTTCAAGAAAATAATTAAAAGTATTATTTTGATGATGCCTTGTGGTGATTGCGTACATAGGGTTCACTAGTTTCATTGCACATAATTGAAGTGAGTGATCCCTAGATTGTAACGGTATCAGGGTTGTGTTTTTTTAGTACTTTGCGTAGCTTTAAGGATACATGCAATTAATGGATAACGTGTTGTATGTGATTTAACAAAATTTTACGTTATATTGTTGATATTTTTTAAAATTAATAAAAAATTTTCACCATCTCCAATTAGTCTATCTTTGTAAAAGTTCTCCAACTGATTTAAAAAGGAAATATATTGGTTTTTTACTGAAAATTCTCTAAGCAAATGGACATTGTGTTAAACGTATTAACCCAAAAGTTTTGTTGTTGAACAAGTTCTAAATTACAATCATCATAGAAAAAAGTTAAATGTATTCTTTAAAGACTTTCTGATGATGACTATCTGCTGATGTTAAATTTCACATTTTCACAAACTTTCGTGAGGAAAAGTTCAATAATTAATCTTCGAGCATATAGCTGCTTTATACTTATACAAATTTTTGTACCAAAGGCATAAATTCGAAGCTATATTTTCTGTTTCAAATCTAAAATTCCCCTAATGAACCTTGGGTCAACTTGTTTTGCAACAAATGTTTATGCTTTGAGTATCCAGTTGCCAACAATTTACCCTCTTCTATCATCCACCTCCCAGTTGCGTAAATTCCACGAAGGTAAACAAAAACTAAGAGCAACTGTTTTACATGCCACTTAAACATGTTTACACCAATATGGATTATTAATATATGGATTATTTTGATAACGGTATGAAAATATTCAAAAGAGTGCACCAATGTGCGTATATAGAGAAATAAAACACTTCATAATAAATTCATTTTAGGAAACTTGTTCGTTTGTAACTTAATTATGCACTAATCAGCTTGGATAATGTATATTTTCATGCTCATTTGTTGCCTGAAGGGGCAGGTGAGAATAGTTTGTAGTACAAAAACATACATGGATAATACACTGGTTGAATTACTTATACAATAGGGATGTCAGTTCTTGGATAGAAGGAAATAAGGAAAACTTTATTGGAGATTTGGAACTTGGGCGCCACTTTTAGACTACAATTGCGCTCTTTATAAAGTTTGAAATATCTTATTATTATGAAGAGGCCAATATAAACGAATGTCATACTTTATTTTGATGATTTTTAACTTGAAAACTTTTATTTTTAATTGGAATGCATCTGGACTGAGTAAAATAACAACGATAATTAATTCTTGTAGAAAAAACTAAAGGATTCTAAGGTAAGTTTAAACTGTTCTCAGAAATATTTTGCTGCTTAGTTCATATGTTGGGCGCCAAAAGTAACTTAAATTCAGAATTTTGCATGTAGATCTCAGTTTGGATTTTGGGATGTTGGGAGCAAACCGCAACCATAGGTAACCTTAATTCCGAATTCAGTATATAAATCTTTGCTTAGATTTAGATTTCTTGCTCATTCAGCGATTTTTGATTTTTTTTTGGTATTCGACATTTCTACACATGTAACCAAACATTGTGCCAAGCAGACAACTTACTACACACTACATATACACACACGTTGACTTTCTTACGCTCCTCGTCAAACAAAAAGCAGGAGTCAAATTTTTGCCTTAAAGTTACAAAACATTCCCTTACCATGGTTAACACACCTACAGAGGCGTTCTCACGTCCATGTCTGTCTTTTTATGGTTATTAACACACAGGAGACTCATTTGTTTTTGGATTTTCTGTTAAAGAATATAAAGAGAATGTTAACGCATTTCGAGCAAACTACTACTACCACTACTACTCGCACTTAGCACAGATCCAACAACAAACGGCACACGTTCCAAAGTGAAACAACATTCCATTATCTCACAACAACCTGGCGGCTAATACCGAATGGTTGGCTATGTGGTTTTGACTTTGCCAGCCAGGTTAGGGGAGTGTTATGGGCGTGAATTTTTGTGTCATTTTTGAGGGGAAGAGGATATGTGAAATGCTCGTGCTTTTGTTTTGTTACCCTTTTGAATGCTTGGCTCGTTTAGTTTCTTGTTACACAAAAAAAAAAAAAAAAAAAAAACAACAAATTATATGATAGAGCTTAGGCTTAAACAGATTAAATTAAACAGGGAATAACACAGTATGTGGACTGAAAAATGCAGGGGTGCAAAATGAGGAAATAGGTGATTAGTACGCAAATATGTTGCCCAAACAAATGGAGAGTAGACAAATAAAGGGGGAGATGAAAAAAAAAATGCAACAAAGTCAAACGCCATAATTTTTACATATTTTTTTTTAAATTTAATGAAAGCAAAAAATGTCGAAAATAACATCAAATTTTAGAATAACTTCAGATTTGTTGGAATTGGTCACCTTTGGTCACACGCTGCCCGAAGGTTGCTCTGCGGTATTTTGGCCCCTTCCCGGCGAAGCGCTTGCTTGAGGTGATCGACACTTTGGTATTTTTTAGTGCCAACCTTGCTTTCCAAAATACTCCAGACACAATAGTCCAACGGATTGGTATCCGGAGATATTGGTGTCCTCTGTGCGCTGGAAATGAATTGGGGAACCCCATTTTGTTACCATTCTTGGGTGGCGTGTGCTAACACGCACATTTTTAGCTGACCTCTTCGGCCTCGTGTTTACGATCATTTTGTTTGTTCACAAACTGTTGGTCAACGAATGTTTTCTCATCGGAGAAAATCAAATTCGGCAGTTCACCACCTTCGGCCAAGCGAAGCAACACTTTAGCTCTTTTGTGTCCATTTTCTTTCTGTTGCGGTGTAAGTTCTTGCACTTTTTGGAATTTCAATGGCTTTACCCCCAGCTCATTTTTAAATATTTGCCAAATGGAATATTGCGATATGTTCAGCTCACGAGCCATTTTTCGGCCACTGCGACGCGGGTCTTGATCAAGTCGCTTCTTTACTTTTTGAACCATTTCTGCTTATGTTGCTGTTTTCTTCCGTCCACTTCCTTGACGTCGGGGGCTACGCTACCAGTATCACGGTAACGAGCGATGGTACGAGGCACAAAAGATTTATTCACATTTAAATGGAGTGGAGTGCTCTAACGTAGCCACTTGGTCGGTGGTTTTCTAGCCAAATATAAAGAAATCACACTATCACGCTTGAATTCCATCACGAATAACTTTTTTTCTGGAAAATTCTCCAAAATTCTCACGCTTGTAAACAATATAATGAACTGTCACTGGAATAATTTTAACAGCTGTCGAACGATTGGCTTAGAAATGACAGCAGTCTGAAGTTGGTTGCAGTTTTTCATCTCTCCCTGTATATTGGCGTAATGTGTGGAACGATTTTGATAATGTACCTCCTATCCCATATTCACCATGCGATGAATATATACGCGAAGAATAACTACTTTTCCGGTTTGCAAATCTTGTAAAATTTTCATGAAAGAAACTGAACTGTGTAAACTAATATCAAGTGGCGCCCAAGCGCAGCTTAAATAATGTAAATCCACTGAAATGGTTTTATATGGATTTGCTTTCAAAACTGTTAAAAGATTCATTAAAATTGAAATGTACACGTGACTCTTCTTTGAAGTGTGCTGCTTTTTTTTGTAAAAGAACACGTTTGGAGTAAAAAGTAGTAATCCCAATATTTAACACACATTATTTTTCAATATTCAAATATAATTTTATTGTATTTTTTCTTTGGGTTTTATGCAAATATTTCTGGTTTTTTGTTAAATTTAGAGCTATTTATTTTAAATAATACCTTTATTATTTTTCTTACATTAAGTATTTATGTTTGTGTTGCTTGCATGTTATACATATTTTTTAATTTTTAGCAAATATTTTTATTTAGTTTTCTTTTTGTAATAATTCATATAAAGTAACTAATTATGTTTTCATTTTCTCAAATATATATAAACAAAATAATATACATCTACCGATTACCATTTAAATTTAACTATAATATTGATGATGAATACAAAAAAAATGTCCAATATTTTTCTTTTATAATTTATTTAAAATGCATTTGCATATTTCTTATAAGGACTAAAAACTCCATGTCTGTTTAAACATAAATGATTAAAAGTAATTATCTGTTATTTGTTGTATATTTTTAAGAAATAAGTTTTCTTACATTTCAATGTTTTTTTGGATAATAAGAAATACTAAAATTACCTTTTAATAATTTTTTAACACATTTCTTCAAGACAATATTTGAAAAATTGTTATTATGTTTGTTTATGTTTTCCTTAATTGATTCCATTATTGTATGGTTTATGACAGATCGGTAATAGCGCGTTTACACCAAACACTTGATATAATTTCATTGTGAGAAATACTTAAATTAACAACGTGACTTTATACCATGGTAGAAGAATACAGGTAGATGCATCAACGCTTTGAAACATTGATATGTCAAAAAAAATTTTTGTATATTTTTTCTCATACGACGCCAATCGGAGGTTGTGTTGATATGAATTTTTTTTACCAATTTTTACAAATTTAAATAATTGTTTATTCAAAAATGTCAATTCCAAAATTGGTTTGACAGATCATTGTCCCTGCAGCTCGGCCAATGCGACTAGATGTATTCTTCTACCATGCTTTTTAGATTCGGTTATTTTAATGGATAATCAGCTGATGTTTATTTGTTTGGATACTACCATGGTAGAAGAATAAAGGTAGACCCATCGACACAGCTTTGAAATTGAAAATGTTGAATGAAAAATTATTTTAATTTGTAAAAATTGTT